CATCTCCATTCCATCACCGAAATCGCAAGTGGCACCGTCGCCGTGCACGATTCTGAAAGTGATGTCTATCGGTCGCGGTTAAAACCGGTCATAACGTAAGGCATGTCTGTGAAAGGAAACTTTTTCCATGAATCGACTTTCTGCGAAACACTCCGGGGGCCTTCCTCTATTCCCTTCGTGCTTTCGCAAAAATGACGCCACGTATTCAATGAGCTGAAATGTTCCCCAGGATTCCCCAGCAGAGCATGGTTAATTAATCAATTTTCAGAAAAGTGATGAATGATTAAACCTCAGAATTAATCAATGATTAACTGATTTAAATATTTAAAAACTAATTACTCCTGAAAAGGGTGCAGAAGAGCTTTATTGTTTCTGTTGCATGAGATGAGATGAGAGAAAACGCAGTTTGTCAATCGTCTCATCATTCAGAGATGTGCGTAATTTGGTAAAAAAAAAAATAGGCCAGCTGCACTGAAACATCTCTCTGCCTCTGCAGAAGTTTGAGGTGTAGTCGTCTTTTCTATCAAAACATCCAGTTCTTCTGCTTTGCTTAATTTATTTGGTGGTTCTGTAACTTCTGTTTCATCACCAGTTTGATCCTCACTCTCTTCCTTGACTTCATTCTCATTACCATGGTTTTGGAAGAGGAGAATGTAAAATTGTCTTCGGCTGCCTTGGCAATTTCATTCCTAGATGGCACGTGGGAGCGGAGCAGAAAGTCACCTTCAAAGAGTGACATGTACGTACTTGGGTCCTCCAGATAACATAAAAAGCCAGCAAGATTTGCATTCCTTCTTTCCTTAATCCTCTGACTTAAAGCCATGTACAACCTGTGCCCTATCGTGCTACCCTGTTCGTTCAACTTCCTCAGCGTTTCTAAACATTTTTCATTTATTACATTGACATGCTTTTATGCATGCAGTTGCGTATGGAATCACTCGAGTGTTCGCCTTAAAACTGGGTCAATGAAACCTCAAAACAAAATGTTTTTTGCATTTCATACTACTGTAAAAACTCCTCCCTCCTGTGTCGTTCAACAATTAATAACTGAATAAAGCCTACAGATTTTGAGAGCCTGAGCCCTAGCTCATAAGCATTAGAATGTATCTTACCTGGGGGTTCCTCTACTTAGGCTAAGCCTATCTATCTACAGGGTGTTCGTATTTAAACGCTACATTGGGGAGTTTTTGCCGCCTGTTTGTGGAGTTCAGAGCGTGCCTTATGGGTCACCGGGTTGCAAATCTGGAAGGATGAAACCTATCCCTAGTGTGTTTCCTTGCATATATGCAACCCAGTGGTCCTTTTAGCGTTGGAAGAACTTCACCTACAGGCAGCAAAATCAAGTCAAGAGAGTTAGTGATATCAAGAGGCGATTTCGCCCATTTCGATAACACGTGTCGAGGTCGAGCGTTCCTTAATTTTAGGGTAGGCCTAACCCTCTTAAAGCTAAATATTTTTGTATTTTTGTTTNTGGTATTTCACAGCATTATATTACAAAGACACTGATGTTGAGAGGTGAAAGTTTTGCTAAACTGAGTTTGCACTATTTTTGCAGAGCTGCTTTTTCAAGAGCAACAAAGAATTGTAGGATAATTCATTTGAAAGAAATTAATTCTGGAGCCCTCTTGAAGTCCATGCACAGCATATTGGGAGGGTTCTCTTCCTCCAATGAATTCCAAACATTGATTATATATCTGCTGAGTATATTGCAGTCACATGCAGTTTTTCAGCACAGAACATCTTGTATATAAAGCATATGCTTTTAAAGTGTATTCATTTCCATAACGCTAATTGTTGCAATTTTCTCTGGTGAAAAAAAATCTGCATCCTGGCATCAAGACGCATTGTCGCCAACGTGTTAAGATCCGCTGGTACTTGCCAACGGTCACCCGTTCGTGCACGGCGGTGAGACCGGCCTCCCCGCAATCGCGCACTTCTGCACTGTGTGCGCTTTGTCCACCTTGTGTGCCCTTATATGGGCACTCGCCTATGGACCAGGGGAGGCCAGATGGAGACGTTCTGGTTCGTCCAGTTTCTCCTATCTCAAAGTTCATTTTTATTTTACGGTCCTATCCCAGTCGGTGCAGCTCGATATTGCACCACTTAAGATGGAACGACACGCCCAAGCACGATCCCCATGAGGATTCCCGGCAGTTTGCGACTACGATCTACGCCATATCCCACCGCCAGCACATGCTTTCACAAGTTCATAAATTCATTGGATATGAGCCTTCTAAAGGGCTCTTCGCATTCTATAAATTCTGAATAGCCTTTGTACGGGATGAACTCGAAGAAAATAGGCTACCTTAAATTCTAAATCTTTTCATTTGGAACACTATTTGTATAACTTATTTCCTGAAAATTTTGATGGGATTTCAATAGATTTTTCATACACTGACTCTTACGAAGTTTATGAAATTCAATTAAAATTTTGCACAATTTCTAGACAGTGACAAAAGAAATTCATATAATCCAATATAAATTCTGTAAAAATTTATTTACAGTGTCCTCGTGGAACTCCATAGAAATTTGGTACGATTCTTCATAGCATTTCTATGGAATCTCTATAGAATTTTCATACCGTGATTTAATAGAATTATATAGAGAGAAACCAGGGTCAAATTAAGGGGGGGGGGGGGGCAAAGGGGGGAGATGCCCCGGGCCCCACTCTTCCAGGGGGCCCCCGAAGGAAATGAAAAACGTTAAGTTCAAAAAATTATTGTATTTGCGTAAAGTAGCGGGGAGGGGGGGAGAGCCCCAGGAATTCACTTGCCCCGGGCCTCGCAACTTCTTAATCCGGTCGAGAGAAATTGAATTCTATACGACCCTAAAGAATTTTTTCTTGTCTATAGTCATAGAATATAGAGAGTCTATAGAATATTTTTGCCTGGGTCCCCAGAACTGACTTATTGACTTCTCATAGTTTCAAATGGAGTCATGAAGTTAGAGGCCAGATCTCCTCACTCGGAAGTACTCCACCGACAAACTAACGGTCAACACGACCCGAAAACATTCGATTCCTCCGTCTTTACTTCCTGGGTGCTCCTCTCGAATCCTTGCCGGAGAGGGCTTTCCCGCTGGCTGAGAGTCGCCTATTTTCCCACGGCTGGGAACGCGATTGGGGGTGCCTATGGACCCTGCCAGGCTAGTATATGGGTTGATTATGATTCAGCATAAGGACGGAGCAATAATTATATTCTAAAGACTATTACAGAAACGATCTCATTTAAACTTGCTGCATCGTTTAGCAAATGAATTTGTTACATCTCCTCGAATGCACGGTAGAAATATAATTGCAAAATGTAAGACACTGTAATAATTAATTTCCTGCACACAAGTAGTCCGTAACATCCCGTGCGGAACATGTCGAAATCTTGACTGGGCGACGGGGAACAGGTGGGTCCTACCGAAGATACTCGAGCGCCGCCATAGCAGCCGCCAACAAAGATGGACCACGTGACTTAGCTTAGATCCTCTTTCAACTTATTTACTCTTCGGACGTCATCCAGCCACAGATAAACTCACGTAACTTGAGCGTAACGGCAAAGCCTTAGTCCATTCGACTTATTGTAAATTCACGGTAGACCAAGGATCATGCTGTGAAAATGCATGATAGGCTGAAAGACCCATCTTCGCCCCGAAACCACTGCACTAGGCCTGGAAGTGAACTCGACCATTCCTCAGAGGCAAACCTGAGGTAGGTCAGGCTCAGTGCCGAACCTGAAGAAGTTGGGCCTAGGCCTAGTAGCAATGCAACGCTAGCTTATGCGTATTGAATTTAACTTGGGCCTAGCCTATTCATAAGTTGAAAAACTAACACTTAAGATAGGTTATGTCTGACTGGCAACAGCTATTTGCAAATGAATTCGTGCCACTGGTTGCATTGTGCAATGCTGTTTCTATAGTACAACCAAGGAGGTTAGAGTATATCTACCTTAAACGAGATGACATCAGACCTATGTAGCATGTGTCAAGGGTGGTATAAATTCATTTTCAAATCACTGTTAGCAAATGGGCCTGTGAGCTTAATCACCTTTCAGTTGCCTGGATTACATCCTATGTCAACCAGTAGCTTGCGATGTAAGGATACTCAGACTATTTTCAGCATATAGTAAAGGCAGCATGACTTTGTCCATTTTTCAATTGAATGCATGCTTTCTTCAGTGATTATTGCATGGACTAGGCTAGCTTGCTGCCCCAGAAGATTTTGACTGATGCATTCTACTTTCCTCCTGAGTCTCAGGATTTACTTCAGTGCCACATGTCCTTGTGTCAAGGAACAGGTTCACGAAATACTAATCTCAGCTGGTGAAAGTTAGGGATATTTGGTTTAACATTTTAGGGTTGATTCTATCAGGTTTATTATGGAGAATTTGTAACAGGGTGTAAAGTCTAATGTAAAATGTGCTTTAGGTAAACCAATGCTACTGTATGGTATTTCACAGCATTATATTACAAAGACACTGATGTTGAGAGGTGAAAGTTTTGCTAAACTGAGTTTGCACTATTTTTGCAGAGCTGCTTTTTCAAGAGCAACAAAGAATTGTAGGATAATTCATTTGAAAGAAATTAATTCTGGAGCCCTCTTGAAGTCCATGCACAGCATATTGGGAGGGTTCTCTTCCTCCAATGAATTCCAAACATTGATTATATATCTGCTGAGTATATTGCAGTCACATGCAGTTTTTCAGCACAGAACATCTTGTATATAAAGCATATGCTTTTAAAGTGTATTCATTTCCATAACACTAATTGTTGAAATTTTCTCTGGTGAAAAAATATTTTTTAAAAACCACTTATTGATAACTACTTCTTATATTTAAGTTAACGAATTGATATTTTAATTTCATTGACCTTTAAGAACTCTCCATGGAAATGATATATTGTGCATGAAATTTCATGAAATGAAATTTAAAAAAGAGGTGATGTTTAAAGAATGGCATTGGTATAATATTGAGATCATATTTGATTTACTGAAGAATGGGATCTATCACCTTCAAATGCTTGAACTTTCCAGGAGTTATAGTGATGCTGCCCGGGAATGGGATGCCATTGAGACTGTGACATTGACGAAAAAAGGCAATGGAAATGTCCCTCAGCAAATACAACACATGTCAGAGAGCCATGATGGATCATGCTTTGTGAATTTCAGGGATGTATGGGACCATCTCAAGAACAAGCATGCTGTATCTTCTCGGGTAAACTGAAACGAAGGATGTCTAGAATTGCTGCCATTTCAAACAGAAATATTGTTTTTCAGTTAGCCAAATATGTGTTTCATTCATGATACTATGTAATGTCTAAGATCCATGATTCATTGAAGATCTGATGATGGCATGAATATAAAAGTGAAAAATATCCTAGAAGGGCAAGAATTTTCTATTTCTTCAGACTGAAAAACAATTTGCAGCTGAGTTGTAATGAGTGCTGAGACTTTCAACCTCCTGGTGTTATATTGAACACACATCAGTGTTTGGCAGCAGATCATTCTGCTGCCCAAGAAGAAGAGAAAGTTCTTCTCTTCCTTAAAAAAAAGGCAAAATATATGTTTCCATGCTTGTCAGATCATTATTATGATATGATGTACGTAGTGAAATTAGTAATGAGGAAAGCAAGTGCTCATTCTGTCTGAAATTTTATTTTTCAAAGGTTCACAGAGGAGTGGATGAAGCCCCCCAGACAAGTTCATTGAGAAGATTCTTTCAAGCTCTACTGTGTCAGTTTCATCATGATCATTTGTTGGCGGACAGTCTGAGGCTAGAACTACAGACAATACAATGTATTGCAGAGTGTGAGTCCCAACAGAATGCATTTTATCACTGTTAGGTCTTCACCAAGAAATATCCACTTTTCATAAGTAAAAGCATCCCTTACCAAAAAATAATTGCACGATTTCTCCAGTTTTCCTTCATTAGAACACACTTAAATGGCTTAACCAATTTCCTGCTTAGTATTGAAACAGGACAAGTTTTCTTTGGAAAGGCATGTTTTTCAAACCTATTTCTTCATTGAAAAGGCCATGGTGGTTGCAAAATGCAATAGCAAACATATTTCTTCCATTGCCTTCCTGGAAAGGCTTTACAGTGGCTTACTTGAATGCATGCTGGTTCATGGCAGGATTGTTAGTTTTTTCTAATTGGCTCTTACCCATCTCCTTCCTTTCTGGTGTGTAGGATTGTCAATAGTCAGCAGTTATCATTAATGGCAAAAGGGTTTATGGTCATTCCATATTAGCTCAACCAAGACAGATTTGCTAAAATTGGTAAATACCATGAATACCTTTTTAAGAAATAGGTGAGAAATACTGAATAGGTGAGAAATACTGAATAGGTGAGAAATACTGAATAGTTTAAGTGAATTCTGACAATGGGTTTGTGAGAGACAGGCTCCCTAAATTCAGGGGGAAGGTGAAAACTGGGGCTGTCTCTTAATTGTTAACTCTTTGTCATTGTTTTAATTTTTTAATCATTTTTAGCTCAAATGAAAGCTAAGTGACAATGATGAACCTAATGATGTGCAAATTTAAGCTAAATGTCTGATTGGGGAAGGCGGCAAATATCCCAATTTGGGGGGTGGAGGCACAACTTTATCTTTAGTGATTTTGTTAGAGGCCCTTCTGGTCATGTGTAGACCAGATTCAGGTTGTGTCTTTGTACCATAAATTGGGAAAATTTAACTTGAAATCTTAAAATGCATTCAGGGCAACAACAAAAAAATATGGGGGTCACCCTCCCCCAAAATATTGTACACCTCCAGAGAACCTTGTCCAAATCCTTTAGGAATATGCATACTTCTACCTGTATCTCTCAAGATTTGTAGCTTCTTTATTATTTTTTTAAAACCCTTTTAGTACAGAGTTTTCTACATATAATTGTGTCTCGTTTTTTGGGGGGGGGCTGTGCATTCAAGGCTTAGTTTTGGCTTGAAACATAAAGTATCAGTTCCATGTGCCTTATTAGTGCTTCAGGGTGTGATAATTGTGGAAGCAGGGGTTGATGCAGATTGAGAAGGGACCATGGATGCACAGCCATACTGGTATGGCCATAGTATAGATAGTGTTAATGGGTGCTCCTCTGGGTTCTTCCCATGGGATTCACATTGATTGGAATATGAAAGCAAAAAACGTATTCTACATAGATTGATTTAGATAAAGTTCAGAATGAGTTAACATAACTTAAAATATATATTGGTAGGAGTTTTTCCTATTCCAATTGAATGAATTGATGAGCTGTTCATTTTTTTTAGAGGATGCTTTCTTTCCAATAGAGGCTTTTTTGTGGCTGTCACCAACTTCCAGGAAAAAAATAAAACTTTGAATTTCCATGCTTGCCGATCTATATTGCAGGAGCCAGGTGGTTATAACTCTTTGAGCATATTGGAAATTGAGACGAAGAACATGAATTTTAGGCCTAATGGGCCCAACACATTGGACTTAAGTTTTTGAGTCAGATCAATTGAACTTATTGCTATTAATTGATAGATTAAATAAAAACTTCAACCAATAAGTATTTTAAGCTATCTGTTGGCAAAAGTCAACGTATATTGATAAGGCATGTCCATGTGGCGACAACCCTTCCTGAGTTAGAAAACTACTACACAAAATGATGGTCGAGCTCATTGAAAAGTATGGAGCTCATGTAATTGGGGGTGGGGGGGGGAAGGGATGTAAATCCAAAAATACAGTAGTATGTCACAAGAAGTTCCTTTTGTTTCTTGCCATAAAAAAAAGGATGAACTTGCCCATAGGACCCTAGAAGAATAAATTGGAGGTTATTTTTTGCTGCGCTTATAAATTTCTTAAGCTCTAGGGAGGATGAGGTTCCTGGATCTGTTTCTTTCTGATATCTCTCAGATCATTATGTAACTGATGTGGTAACCTTCCTTCTACTTTCTGATGTAATGCATCTCTAAGTACGAATTTGATTTGGTGTGGTTTCAACCAAGCAGACAGAGCTCTTGTGTCATTAGAATGCAATTTTTAACAGCGTGATTTATACATCGGCTGGGTTCTTGGTTGACCTTTGAAACTGGGCGGGCCACTCAATCGTTATTACGGGATTTCCATGATCGCCCAGTTTAAGAATTTAGCCGCCCAATTCACAAATAATAAAAAAAAGAAATATTCGTCGACTGCAGGGTCAGTGCCGTAGCTACCGAATGTGCAGGCGGTGCGACTGCACCGGGACCCACGGGCCAGAGGGGCCCAGGCGCCGAGCTACGAAGAGGGAAGAAGGCAGGGGGGGGCGTTAGCTGGGAGTCCCTTGGCATCGGAACGAGGTGAGAGCCAGCAGCCGAAGAGGAAGGTCAATAGGAATCAAAGGAATTCAACGCAACACTGCACAGAGACATCTCCCATCTGGGACGCCGCTTCGTGTGGTTAAATGAAGTGGTGGCTACTTCAAATGCCATTCACCCAGGGCTGGATTAAGGGGGGGGGGGGGGGGGGGGACCCGGGGGGGGGGGGGGGGGGGGGGGGGGGGGGGCAAAGGGGCTGTTGCCCCGGGCCCCACTTTTCCAGGGGGCCCTCGAAGGAAATTAAACACGTTAAGTATTTGCGTAAAGTAGCAGGGGTCCCCCCACCCCTGCTACTTGTGACTGTCCCTCCTCTGGCCAAGTTCGCAGTCTATTTTTTTTAATTTAGAAAGCACATAAACTAAAGTTAGCTCCTGTGAAATGGATATTCAGGCTTTTTACCCCAGACGAAACATGAATAAGGCGATAGGACGGAGGGTGGCAGTAGATGACGGGGGGGGGGGCTGGGAACTAGGAAACAGGCCCCCCCCCTACGAAAAATTTCTGAATCTGCCACTGCCTTCCACACTGACTTCAGCTGCCGGAGAAAACTAGCAAAAAAATATGACTAAACACATAATTCAACAGTAAGGACAGCGGGCCCCATTTCATTTCTTGCACCAGGGCCATTGGGCTTGACCATGCCAATCACGCTACGCCACTGTGCAGGGTATTTCTTCCTTGGCGTATCCTCGATCGACGGTGATTGACGTAATTGCCGAAGGCATTGCACAAACGCGAAACTCTTCTCCGATTCCACCCAGGAACCCTCCTCCGCCTGCATCCCTCTTCCTCTCGCCCTAACTTTCCTGAGTTGGCTCGATTTTAGCGAATGCCGATGTTCCGAGAAAACAAATAATTTATTTCATCAAAACAAGGGAGAAAGCAAATGTTAAAGAATTAGTTGTCCTTCGACGCGTGGTATTCGCGAAGCACGCCGCAGCTGTCCCTCAGACTGCATCGTGCACGCCACGTTGCTCGGACGTAGCCGATCTTACGAAATCCATATACGACACGATGCTCTGCAATACCTCTGAGGCGCGTTGCCCTTGAAAGGGTTGATTTTGCTTTTTGTCAACCTGTCTCTCAACCATGGTGGGCACGAGAGTCGAGTGCGAGTTCATTTCGAAAGCATGGTTGCTATGATAGATCTTCCTATGTTTATTGTATACTGCGAACGAACCATTCTTTATTTCGAAGCGTATTAAAAGCACAACTGAGAAGGCATCTGAAAGCCTCATCACTGGAAAGCTTCACATTGATGTATGCCGAGGATCGTCCTCTCGAGGACTTGCAGTATTCATAGACCGTGCCTGTCTGCAGAAGCCGATGCAATGTGCTCGTATTTTCCTCACGTCCTTGAGTTTTCCGCAAGGAATGTGTATCGTGTCCGTGACATTACTTCCAATAAAGTTTCTTCCAGTGTTTTTTTGTCCTTACAATGAATTGGAAGAACCTGAAGGTTGGGGAGCGCGGGAATGGGTGGGGGGGGGGGGGGGAAGGTTGGTTGTGTGTATCCTCGGCGGTAAATCAATTAGCCAGCCCCCAGCCTAGGAAATTTCCTGCCATGAACCCTACATTGCAATATGCAGGAAATTAGGAAACTGTTGCACAAAGGTTGCAATCTTGGCAGAATGATACAATATCCTACAAAGGTAAACATTTTTATGTTGTGTTGTCTGTGACCTTAATCTAATTTCAATTATTATGTTGATACAAGTTTCATTATATATCTCATAACATCAAAGATACGAGGAATATACATTCTACTCTTTCATGAGGACAATACCTAGTCCTATTTTCAGACTTAAATTTAATTTCAGAAATGTTCATTTGTTTTCTGGTGAAAAATGACTAAGTTGCATACTCACCCTTGTCTTAGATCATCTAAAATAGACAGTGAGGAATAGGACTTCCTTATCTTATGCATGCTTTCCCAAAAGGCTCAGGAGGAATCTGACTAATTCAAATTGAAGTTCCATACCATCTTCCAAGAAATGACTCTGGTATAGGAATGTCCTCATTTCTACTCTCAAGTGCAAAATAGTGAAGTTTCACAAGTGATTGTGAATGATTGTATAGTCATCCCACCTGATATTTCATATTCTGGTACCGAACTAATTAGAGAGTTTGAAATAGGAAGAGTGCACCCCACAGAGTGTTTACATCTCATGCTTTCCTACAGCTATTGGCCAGTCAGAGTGAGAAATTCCTCATGTAAAATAAGCAAGTGTTTTTTCATTCAGGAATTTTTAAAGCAATATCTTACCCAACTTGTCCAATCTGAGTGATTAGCTTTAATGGTTGTATTTTTTTCTAGGCCCTTTTGATGATGATGATCAAATGCACCTGCACACAATACAGACACTATACATGGAATTGACAGGAGAGGAATACCCTTGCCCTCGATATGGGTCACATTGGGAAAACATTGGATTCCAAGTAAGGTTTTTCCTTTATGGAACTATTGTACTGAACTATAAATAGCCTGTTGGTTTTCATGCAGCATGGTGCTCTTGTGACCTGCTCATGGATGCTGAATTGTGACTACCCACCCATTCATGGGATTACATGTTCAGTGGAGCCATCTACTGTTGATATCTCTGGGTGCATTTCATCTGTTGCAGTAACATCCACTTAACCCTGAAGGGAACTAAGTTAATGAGGATCAGCCTCCCTGCCATTCTATCAAAGTCTGATTCATCTCAAGCCCAATGCCATGACTTGACCTGCCAGGTTCCAAAGGTCTGTAAACATGTTTCAAATGTCCTTTCCCAAAGGGAAAGGTCAAGAAAAACCAAACTTCCTTTCCTGGTGGGAGAAGAAATCCCTATCTGGGAAACTAAATCCTTGGTCTTTTTAGTTTTCATGTTTTTGTTTGGAACTTTTGTGACACATTCAATTTTTGCATGATACTAATGTATATATATATATCCAGTGGTCATTTTCCCTAGCATTACCTAGCCCTTCCTCATTCTGTCTTCTGAAAAGATAAATCTTTTGTAGTTAGATTGAAGTTCTCATTGTGTCAGTGATAAATGAATAAGACTAGTGGTCATGATCTCACAGCACACAAGAGTTGGCGTTTCTTCTCATTTAATCTTGTAGGTTAAAATACCCAGTGATGGGCCATGGGGCATAAAAATTCCAGTAACTTAACATAAGTAGTATGTACACTCCTGCTTTGACATAATTGCTTGTTGGAGAGTAACCAATGTCATGGATGGGGTGTGCATGCCACAAGTGCTTAGTTATTGGAATCTTTATGTTATGTGGCCCATCACTTGGAATTGGCACATCACTGAGTATTTTACACTATTAGTCTAAATTAATTGGAATAATTTTCCAATTTTCTGTTATCTATCAATGAAAAGGTTTGTGGTCTCCTAAGGTAAACTATTTTGCCATTGTTTCTCATGTACAGTATACCTTGGGTCAAAAGCTGATCTTAGCTCCAATCATGAAGCTCAGAGGAGAATTTAGCAATTAATATCATGTCTGCATTCAGTAAGCAGTTCATTACATATTTTTAAAAGCAAAGTGATGAACTGTGAACTGAACATCATAGCTACTGGGACCATGGACTTTTGAGATCAGCATTGATGAATGGTTTCCATCTCTGATACCAATTTTCTATGTTCCTCTATTACCCTTGATGTGGTACATTGTAGGAATTAGGCTTAAAATAAAGCCATAAAAGTCATTTACGTGGAGGCACCATGTATTATATGGACCTTCTGTGTTATTTACTACTAATTTCCCTTATCCCTGTACTCATTGGTTTGAAAGTATAGGTTTACTTGAATATCCTTCTCATTTGCATGCATTTCTTAGTTCTTTCCCTTTCCTATCTTTAAAATGAAATGGTGCAACCACAAAATATCCCACATTTACAATTTTGATAGATACTGCCTTCAGATCATACATTCTTATTGGAACAACACTGCATGAGAGATGAACACAGTGATAACAAGTAAAGTGTTTTTGGTTCTGTATCCCAGTAAGATGAACCAGTAAAATCAAGCATGCAGGTTGTGGAGGAAATAATTTCACCCTCAACATCAACTTGATGCCTGAAAGATGTCCTATCAATCATCCCCAGATCTCCCCTGTATTGGAACTTGCTGTATAAATATGGAAACTTTTAAGATACTTGAATGCTTCCAGGGGAAGGATCCTGCCACTGACCTGCGAGGCGTTGGGTTTCTTGCCTTGGTGAACACCATGTCACTTCTGACTACCTCAGAACAGCTTTGCAAATTAGGGAGAAACGTTTATCAACTCTCCCTGAGTGAATCTCAGCACTTTCCTTTCATGGTGCTCAGCATCAATGTCACACGCATTGCTTTACTTGTGCTGAAAGCCGGGAAACTCAATAGGTATGTTGTCCAAGAGCATGACTATGTTTGAGTATGTGTTTGTAAGCATGCATCATAACTTTGTATTCTTCCTTTTAATAGGGAATGCAATGAGAAAAACTCTGTGATTGAGGTTTTGAACCGCTTTTATGCTGGAATCCTGTATAAGATCTACTCTATCTACAAAAGTGGCCGTATGACTATAAATGATGCTGGAAATATGATGAAAGGTAAGTGTCACTGTCTCCTGAAGTCCTATTTTTAGAATCATTCCTTTGTGTTTTGCAGGGTAACCACAAAATCTGAAACCAATGGGGAATAGAATTTTATTATAAACCCCCTTTTGTTGCCAGTGCTTTATTGAAGTTCTGAACATGGCTTTAACAAGAGAGGAACAAATTGAATTGGTTCATCAAAAATTTAAGTTCACCTTCAAACATGTATTGAGTTAGCAGGAGAACATTTTGAGCATTTTTGAACTGTATTCTCCCATTGTTTCCAGACTTTGTAGTCACCCTTTAGAATCATGACCTTTACAGGTCAAACAACTTTTGCTACTTCACTTTTAGATTCACATTACATGTAAGTAATACTCTGCACTTTGCATTTTCAATGCTCTAATATGTTTCACCTCAAAGTTATGCTATTATCCTGCAAATTAGCAGTATACTTTGCTGATTTTTTTATAATGGACAACTTGAGAAACTGTATTGATTTCATACTGTTAGTGTATAGAATAAAAATCACTTCAGTGGAATGCATACTCATAGGTAGGCCTTTCAACATTGAATCTAGTATAGTTTAATGAAATTTGTGAATTTCACAGGTTACTAATAATCATAAGTAATTGTTTTTGTGATTTTCATGGTTTATCAGTCACTGTTTCCCCATTCCTAGACTGAGCTGATTGTCATTAAGGTAATACTGAAATATACTTAAATGTGAAAATTTCTTTGTTAATTACTGTGACAGCATTATTTAAAGAGTTGTTTTTGTTTTTCCACAGATACAGAGAGATATGCCATGAAGAAGCCACAAGAGGTTCTCGCAAAGCTCAATGCTCATTTGAAGGTTTTATAAATCTCCATACTTGAGTCCCTGCATGCCTCTGTTAGTACCTGATGTCAAATGCAGCAGTTGATGCTTATAACTCGTAAAAATTTCTAATACCTGCTTGAGCTGAATTGCAAAGTTTTGTGATCCAATGATATGAAAGCTAGTCATTTTGCTTTAGGGAGGAAACTCCCCTGTTTTGAGTGAGTCGTAATTAACCATTTTTAAAAGCCTCCTCTTCTGACGTGCCTCACAAGCCATGCTGGAGAAATAAAATCTGTGATTGTGTGTTGCACTCTGAGTTTTCTTTTCAACTTTCCATTTGTTCATTTCAGCATTTGAAAGAAAAGTCAAAATAATATTAATACTGCCTTCTATGCAGCAGTTTACTGAGTACAGAACATGTGTTGGGTATGATAAAAAAAGGGTAGGTCTCCAATATTAACTTATACTGGTATATTTCTGCTCAGACTGGAGCTCTTATAAAATTTGCACTATGCACGTACTGATTTGTTCCAAGCATGCTTTTGAAATTTCATCAAAAGGCAAGCAAAGGAAGACTGTGTTTATTAACAGAATTTGAAAATTAAATTGTATGGTGTGTTCCAGTTCCTTTATTCTGTTTTCAGTGTCCTCCGATGTAAGCGAGGGATATTCTGAAGTAATTCATCCGTTATTTATTGAATAAAAGGTTTGTTGTAACTATCTGCAACAAATGGCTGGCCTAAAGAGCGAATTTTAATGGAAGACATTCCTCCGTATTGCGAAGACATTTCCGAATGCCTGGACTCCTGTCCATATTCAATGTTCAACTTCTTTAGAATAATTACTCATGATATTACTGCAGCCTGAATCAAACTGAATGCAGTTTCAAAATACTGACAGGAAAACGTTAGTCTGCGTACAGTGAAAGTTTTGTGAATATAGCACCAATAAGAGTAAGAGCTTTCAAGCAATAAGTAATTGTAAGTTTGAGCTATATTTTGCCCTACTATTTAGGTTTTTTTTATTGGGTTGACCCTTTGTGATACTGTGCTGTTATGTTTATCCATGTAAATGCATAATTATTTGAGTGAGCATTAAGGTTGAATTGTAAATGGTTTTTCCACCTCCCTTGGTAGCGATACTGGTTTTGTTTGGATCTGCTCATCAATGCAGTGAACCCTTGTGCATAGAGTGATTTAAGTAAAGAAGTCAGAACCCTCCATGAAAAGTCTTCATTATGTGTACAAGATGTTCAAAGAACCAAGGATTGAGAAGAAGGAATCAAGAGGTGGAAATCCCCTTTGCCCCTGCATTGAGCTTGTGCCGCTTCTAATTCCAAGCTGCATCTGGGACTGTCTAGAATAGATTGATGGGAAAATTATTTGCGAGAGCTACATCCTTTAACGACAAGGCGCAGGAAAATTAACTACTCATAATCCTACCACCTTTGGGGTGGGAATTGCCCCACCTGCCTCAGATGCATTCCAAGAACCCTGATCTCATTCTCAGCTTTTCCCTTCGTGCCAAAGGTTCTTCCCCTTGTTTTCGTATCCTTGCCTTCAGCACCCACACACAACACATCCCACTTTAAAAATTGTATCTTAGTGTGTAGCAGGGAACAGTCCTGCTTTAACAGCATTTTGTAATGAATATGACATTAGTAAGAGCCAGCGTGGTTTTGAGCAGAGCTTGCGATCATCTGTGATGCAATAACTCATCAGTTATAAATCAACGTTTTTTATTTGACCTATTCTGGAATTCTGGTTCATCAGTCTATCACAACTCTCAATTCTTGTGTTGATCACCTCACCATCATACTATGAAGTTGGTCAATCTGGAATCCTTTAGGGAATGAGGTTTCCATCGTCAAATTGAATGAAGATCTTGAAACCATCGAATCTGAAGAAGAAAAAAAGGGAGTCGAATTAATTTAAATATATATATATACATGTGCCTAGCTTAGCAGTAAATCCTATCATCTTTGGTTCTTAAGGGGTGGTGAGGGAGGTGACAGGGAGTCTTGGGTGAACGGAAGTTTATTTTTCAAGCAGCCAGTTTTGCTTGAGTCTCATTTAAACCTAGATCGATTAGTTCAAAGGGCAAATAAAGTAATGAATGGCGACCGTATTCCTTAGAAAATGAACCGTTCATCAGTCATTAAGCGGGGGGGGGGGGAACACAATCCTCGGATTCATCCAACGCGCGGGCAGCCGCTCCCCGCTTTCACTTCTCACCGATGGGATGGATGGTTACGCGGCTCTTCTGGACGCGATCCGTCGGTCCTCATCACGTGTGCAGGTTCATCGTCTGCACTCGTTGAGAGGAGAGCGTTTGAGTTTCAGCATTCTTCGGTTCATTTTTTTGGACGTGGGCATCCGTGCGGAACGAGGACAAGTCGGTCTGAGTTGAGGACGTGTTTCTTCTATGTTTCGACTGAAAGTAAAGAAAAAATCCTGTCATTGAGTTGAAACTATGGGATGCGAGGGTTTGTTACTTTGCCTCCAATGAAACGGAAATATTATGCTTGCGTTTGACTTCCTTTAAATTAAATTTCCTTCTATCTGATTCTACTCACCTTCTCAAAGACCTGCGCGCTTATGTCGCATCGGTTCCAGGTGAGTGCGTGTCCTTGATCGGCTATAGGGTGGCGAAGGGTCTGAAGCCCGACGTCCGCTGTTTCTCGCTGATTTTCGCTCGGGACAGGAGAAAGCAGCTCTTTCAGCGAATTGATTTTGTCCTTGACTTTCTCCCTTTTCTTCGCACCTGCGAGTAGAACCCTTAGTTCCGGCTGCTCCGTCAGGATCTCCTCAATGGTTTCAATGAACCTATCCAGAATTCCCATCGCATTTAGCCTCGTCAATGGTCAAGCGGGCAAAGTGAATAGGAACAAATGGCTTCAGTTGGACACTGATACCTTTCGGGATCCGCCTTGAAGTCCCAAGCGCAGTCAGAGGCAGAAAAGGAATATTGGCGATCACGGTAGACAAGCAGCCCGATGTTTGGATTCCCGGGGAGGAGAAGCCCCCTGCACTGTGCCAGAGTCCACGTACAATACCCTCCGTACTGAAGGAAATCATCGCGTGAATAAAGATTCGATCGAACGGCATGCGGAGCAGGGAGTCGGGGCAACCACCTGAATGGGCAGCCGGTGAAAATGGGGATGATCGTCGGCGTGAACCACCCGGCACTTGTCGCCTTCGTGGATCACGATATTTTGGTCCTGGGTCAGTTTCAACCTGTCCTCGTCTGTCTGGACGGTGACTCCGGCCATGAGGGTGTGCAGGGTCTCCTCGTTCACCAACCCGTCGTGGTGACACTGGAGGAAATAGTACGGAGAAAACCGTTCAGCGATGTCCCGCCGTGGCTTCTGCGGTGATATCACGAGGAGATTCTCCTACCTTCGCTCGCTCCTTGATCCCCTCGAAGATCCCAGTGAATATGCTTAAGAGGAGCAAGTCCCCCTTCTGCAGCGTCTCCCAATTGTTCCACAGCGACATGAACAGGGGCTGGGGGAAACGGATTCCTGATCTGATTGCATGCTGGGGTCGCGGCTTCCCGCCTCTTTCTTGCTAATGAAGCGTGAAGGATTTGCATAAGGACTCACGTAGACCGAATACATGGGGATAGAATGCTGGAATGCAATCTTGTCCCGAAGATTGTTCTGACACAGTTCCATCCTTTGGCTGCTATCTTTCCAATGCTCCAGGATTTCGGAAAATTCTTCTTCCAGGACTCTGAAACCAACGGAATGGATCTAAAGCCTCTTCTTAAAGAGAAAAAGAAGGTCGGCTTATTCCAGTCGCA